GGTGGGGGGTGGGGATAAAGAACACTGGCTGGGGCAGGTGGAAGGAAGAGACCCGGGTTTGGGTTCAGTCTTACAAAGTCCACATGAAGAGGCCTTACAGGCCCGTGCAGGTTGAGGACATGGACCTGAAATCGTGGAGTTGAGTGTGGCAATCGGAGCTGAGAGTGGGTGAGAACACCCAGGATAGTTCGGTGCGGGGAGAGCCTCAGGGAGAATGCCACCACCTAAGGGCTGGCAGGGCTGGAGAAGAGACGCCCAGAAAGGCAGCTGAGGAGCAACAGCCAAGGAACCAGGAGGGAACCCCGGAAAGCAGGCTGCCGAGGCCAAGGGCAGAGGGTGTCTCTAACGGTCGGCAGCATCCTGCGAAGTGACACTGGTTCCACACAACCAACCCGCCGTCCCACAAGTCAGCACTCCCCACCATCAGGAAGCACGCAGGATCTAGAATTTAACAGATGTTTATTTGTATAATAGGAACATTCAGGTATATAAATAAGGTAAATACTTTCCCATGTATAGTACATCATGTTCTGACACTGGTGAAAAAGAATCTACATTGTATTGTTCAACACTGACGAGAAGACCCAAAGCACGGTCAGCTGTGGCACAAACACACGGATCTAGCGAAACGCCGAGTCAGGTAAAGGGTGTAGTGGCTAGAAAATATTCCCAGCTCCCTTTCTAGTCTGGAGCAAACCCAGGCCATGAACCTAATGGAGGTGAGAAATAGGAGTTCCAGCAGTTAAGAGCAGAGACAAGCTGCGTGGAAGCCATCAGCAAACATCATCTTGCTTGGGACCAGATCACTAGGCTAATCCTAGCTACACCCTCCAGCACCACATCCAGGCGAGGCCCTGCCCGAGGCCTGGGAGATCACTGCAGGGGCCTGGCAGCCAATGGGAGACACTGGCAGCGAGGTCCTGTGCCCGCTGGGAGCCTTTTTCTCTACAGATAAAAAGGCCCATTAGATCCAACAATGAGGGAGGAAGTGCCAGGCCTGGCAAACATGAGTCCAGAAGGACAAGAGGACAAGCCTAGGATCAGTCTGTCACAGCAGCTCCTTACTAAACACCCCTATGACCATGTTCTCATTCCTGCCATAATCGTAACTTAACTGAAGGGGAGAGGCCAGTAAACCCTATGGGCCTCTGGGTCTGGTCCTCGCTTCCCACTAACACCCAAGAAACAGTCCACAGTCAAGCCGGTAGTTCTACGGTTCCCTCCATTGCCTTGAGAATGTTATGGGTCCTTTTTGTCAACACCATTCCTTCCCAGTGAAGAACACTCCACCTCACACGTACCCTCCCGACTCCATTTCCACCTGAAAAACTATAAAAATATTTCACTCAATCCAGTGCCCGCTCTCCCTTCGTTCATGAATCACCCACGTGATCCCTTGCTAACCTAGAATCCAACAGAAACACCCCACATTATCTACCTGCAGTGGTCACCTGCTTCTATCCTGTTAATATTTTGAAGCATGACATAATGAAACACAAGGCCCTGGCTTGTTACATTGTATGGGTGTGGGCAGAGCTTTCAGGCTTTCTGTGTTTATCACAATCTTTTCCCCACTCTTCTTGGCCCGAGATGTCCACTCTTACAGGACAATGCTGCAGGTTCTAAGCTGTGTACACAGAGCACAGCCTTTGGCCACAGGGGAAAATGGAGTCCAGAGTGAGTCACAGATAGACCTTCGCTGCCCGCGGAGCTGAAGAACCACTGGGCAAGAGGAAAAGGCCCTTGGCCACAGGGGAAAATGGAGTCCAGAGCGAGTCACAGATAGACCTTCGCTGCCCGATAGATAGACGGAGCTGAAGAACCACTGGGCAAGAGGAAAAGGCCTCCCTCCCCATGGAAGGTCCAGACGAGGGGCAGCAGGAAGTGGGCAAGGCCTCAGGCAAACTGTTGCCACTCAGTACGGAGAACTCTGGAATATCCTCATGTCCCTTCCTTGTATCAGGCTGGCCTTCTAAATGGCTGCGAAGCAACCAGACGCTGTAGGTGGGGGTTCAGGTTGGACTGCTCCTCTCAGAAAGGCAGTGTGGCTGCTCTTCAGCCCTTGAACACCCAGGCTGTGTGCAGGGCGGGTGGCGGTGCAGTGGCCGGAAGCCAGTCCCTGGCACTACACCAACTTGGGTTCGGATTCTAGCTGAGTACAACAGAAATAATTACCACTTACTGAGCGCTGTATGCCAGGAACTGTGCTAAATGCTTGTGTGCATTATCTCATAAAATCCTCACAATCCCACAAGAGGTTCTGTTATCAGACCCAATTGGGTCACAGTTGCACTTTGTAACCTGCCCAGACCTAGCCTGACATCCATCTTCTTAACCACTGCACTCCGTCTGCCATGGTGCCTCTGTCCTCATGTATAAAATAGGGATGATAATACTCAATCAAAGGTTGTTTTTGGATTAAAAGGGATAATATATGTAAACCCATAGCACTATGCCTGGCACATATTAAACACTATTACTATTATTGCACTTATTACTAATAAATACACTGCTGATAACTTATTGGCTCAAGAATACAAAGAAAAGGAGCCTCGGCAGACAGGCATTTGGTGGAGGAGGGTAGGAGAGGGGACAGGGTTTCCGAACAGCCAGAGGACTTGAAACCCACTGGCTCTAAAATCTTAGATGTCACACATTCTGCTCCAGATTCTCAGAAATCATCCACATTCTAAAAACCCTAACACTTTAGCATCTAAAGTATACCTCCCAAACTGCCCTCACAGCTAAGATCTCTTTGCCTTTGAAAATATGATCCACATACAAACGGGTAAAAGACTTAATTAAGAGGCAGCTCCAGGTAAGAGCAACAGCCTCTACACACCTGAGAACCCAGGTGAGCAAGGTCACTGGTGGTCAAAAGGGGATAGGGGGTGGGGAAGGGGGTGCATCAGTACAGGGAGGAACAGAAAGATGGGACCACTTCCAAACGATACAGGCAGTCAGCGTCTGGGACTCCATTGCTGAGAACGGGACCCACCTACTGTTGGAGATGTGGGCGAGCAGAGTCCAGGATCAAGAGGAAGTGAGCCTAGAAGAGGCCTTTAAATTAGGCCCTTTCATCACCACTTGGTCCAAATGCCAGCAGCCTCTGTCGGTCATGCCACAAGGCCCCCATCCAACAAGGGAAATCAAGTCAGGAAGTGGGAGCTGCTCCATCTCCTTAAAAATCAGAAGCTGGGAAACTGTGTGGAGTGTGATCAAGGGAAAAGTAAGTTTGCTTTGACCAAGAACAGAATAACAAGGCTCTGCCCAAGAATCAGCCCCTTTCTTGAGGGAGCTCATGGTTTGTTCCAGCTGCTGCAGCAGCACAGTGAGAGTCTGCCCATGGTTGACTGTCCCGTGATGTGTCCACAACAGTCACCTGGACATCCTCCTCTTAGCCTTTCCTCCCTGCCCTGACTTCGGAAGAACAGGAACCCTGAGTTCAAATGAAATCGCCCCTCTCCACTCAACCTTTTTCTCAGCGCATAATCACAAGCTGGGCACAGATGTGAGTTACTCCAAAAAAACAAAAAGCAATGGTACCTAAGATTTGGGTGACATAGGAAGAAGTCATTTCAGCAATGACGTATCACATTTGGTAATGAAAATCTACTCCCTAGGAAATTGATCTTGGGTAGGCTTCTTAGGGAACAGGCCACTGCAATGGTTTTCCAAGCAATGATGCTCTTTGCCCTGAGTCATTCGCATCCTCCACCCACCCAGCCATCCCTGTCAACATCAGGAATGCTTCAGAGCCTGCTGGGAAGTCGCTGGCAGTCTGAAAGTCTGAGCTCAAGGATCCAATCAAATCAGCCTCAGGCCAACTCAGCAACTAGCTGAGACTCAATTCACAGCATCTTCTTAGTCTCCCTTAAAATATATTTTTGGGTCTATGGCTATGCCACCCTGAACACGCCCGATCTTGGAAGCTAAGCAGGGTCAGACCTTGTTAGTACTTGGATGGGAGACCACCTAGGAAGACCGGATGCTGTAGGCATAAAAAATAAAAAATAAGGGATTGTAAGCTGACAAGTTCTTTGCAATCTGTGAGGTCAACCAAGGGTTGCCTCACCTAAAAAAATAAAAAATAAAAAAATAATAAAAAATAAAAATTTCTTGGTTGCAAGGTATGATGCTTGAGGCCTTTGTCTCCTGGGAGTGCGCTGTGAGTCAACTTACAGGACAAGAAGCCCAGAGGGAAAAGATAAATACCATAAAAATTATTTCAAAGTCCACCTGTATAAGGTTAAGTGACATTTCGCCCCTTCTGAGACACTAGTTTCAAATATATGTTATAGAATTATAATACAACAGTAAGAGTAAATACTATAGCTACTAAAATGCTCAGAATATGAAACAGGCAGAAAATAATAAACATAAATTAGGTCCAGGCTGCCTCAGAGAGTTTCACTTTCAGGAGTAAAACATAAGCGTGTACTTTTATGATGCTGAGCGTGATTAAGGGGGTAACATGCACACAGAAAGAGAAAAAGACTCAGGTGTCCTGTGAACAGTGACAAGTGGAACTCACCAGGGAGGACGCCCAGGCTCAGCCCTCTGCAAACACTCCCTGGTTTCTGTAATGCCTTTGTCCATCAGCTCCTTTATGTCACTAGTCATGAGCTAGCAGCAACTTAAGCTCCAACCCAGGTCAGGCCACCTAAGGCTTGAGGGAAAGAATGCTGCAAAATTTCAGGTACACTTACATCACTTTCACAAAGGCCAGTGGGACAGGGACGATCCAGTCCCTGCCCTGGTGGGCAGATAGCAAGATGGAGTTTTGACTTCACCACGTGACCCTGGGGAAACTCTCTCCCCTCAACTCCCTCACCAACAAGGTGCCCATGACTCTCACCCAAGGTACCTTAGAAGGCTGTTGTGAGAATGCATAGGGTTTAGATTGGAAAACAAAAATCTCTAAATCGAGTCTGCATACTATTTATAAATGCAAAAACAAGTAAGAAATACAAAGTCACACATGCAAGTGAGAAACTGAATTCACAACAAGGGAGGGCAAACAGTTTCAGCCACATTTTATTTCTCACACACACACACACACAAATGTATCTGAAGCAAGTTACGTCATTAGGATCTGCACAGGTATTTGTTAAAATAGTCTCTTAAATCTTACCTGAAAGGTGAAATATCTTCAATAAATGGGAGAAAGAAAAACATTGTGTGATACAGACACAAGGTGGCACTGCTCTCCTGACTACCCAACCAGGAAATTCCATAGTTCATCAGAAAGAATGTGGGGAAATTGGAAGAAAATTAAACCCAAGCTGACCCTCTGGCCTTCTTGCTGGCAGCTCTGGTGAGCACCCAGCTTCAGCTTCCCAGGACACCCAGATTCCCCATCAGTGACCACAAAGGAATGTGCCAGGTATTTTGATCCCAAAGGCAGCCCTATTCAAGAGTGGCTTTCTGCTGGTGGGCCCCAGCTGAGACTCCCTGCTCCAAAGGACCCCACCGTATGCCCCCAATGGGACGACACAAGACAAATGAGATGCCCTCTGTCTCTGGTTTGAGAAACCAAGTTCATTCTTCAAGGAGAAAACTAGATTTGTTATTCATCACTTCCACTGTTTAATTTGTTGCTGAAATACTGTCTCGTCTTCAGGACAAGCATTTAAAAAAGGACTGAGGGCATCTGTTTCTTGGGTGCCCAGTACCCACAGCAGCCTCTGGTGACATGAACTTGCTGAGCCAGAATCACCGAATACTGGAATCAGAAGAAGGCTCAGAAAACAAAGACCCAGAGAGTGATGCGCCCTGTCCAGGTTACACAGCCAGGATTGTAACCCCGTGCGAAAACACGTTTTGTTTTTAAGGGGGACTTGGACCTGAAAAAGAAAGGCCAAGTGCTCAAATGGAAGTAAAACTTCAGAAGAAAGAAGCTGCTTCAATGCTGCATGCACGTGGAAGGTCATGCAGTGACTGTGAGCTGAAGTGTCTACAGCAGTCTGCCCTGAGCTGGACGCTTCAGTGATCTGGACAGAGTGTGAGTTTTCAGGGCAGCAGGAAGGCTGATTTAAGCAGAAACAAAACAAACCAGCACCAGACCAAGGTGCTGGGGCAAAAGCCATTACACCCTCGCTTGGCAATGAGAACAGCTGTGGCACGGAATAACGGAGCACATTCGAGCCTCGAATTCTCTCTCCTGTACCCCCTTCCAAGGTCGACCTCACGCTTATAATTAGGAAGGGGAAAAAAGTAAATCACAGTTTGTGTGTTTAAAAAAAAAAAAAGGTCCCCCAGTAAAATACAAACTACATTTAACTGGTCACATTATATAGAAAGTGTGCATTTAATCTTCAGACTAGTCAAACCTCTAACTGGTTTGGGTTTTCCAGAGTTTTAAGCAAGACTCTGTGGTTTTAGTGAAGAAATAACGGTACAACTGAAATCACTATAAGAAATAAGTGATTTTTAAAACATACACAACACACGCTTGCCTTAAGAGTAATATAATACAACACAGCAGCTACATGGTGGTTGGTGAGGCAAAGGGTGCATGAACGAGAAGCCCTCTTTAGGCAGAGGGCTTTCCCTGCCTAACGGGAAAGCCCCCAAAAAGGATTCAGCAGCAACCCGTCTACAGCACAAACATGAATGCCATCACTCCCTGAAATGACACAGTTAGCTGGACCGCCCTAAGGAGGGGCCATCTGAGCCTAAACATGTGGGAAGAGGCTCGGTTACAGTACATTCTACTGCATACGCTTGAAATATTACAGTGTGGTTCTTTTCTAGACTATTATAAATAATTTTTCATGCTTTCTGAAGAAAATAAAAACTGAAAACTTCTTTCAGTCTGTGACGAAGTAAGATGAACCCATATCCTATAGCAGAGCACATGTTCCACAGGATTTCATGTGGACAGAATGCTTATCTGATCAATAAGCCTTTGTCCCTCCAGCCTGGAGCTCCAAGGCAGGGATTACAGCTCAGAAGATGGAAGCTCTCCAGTAGCAAAGATACTCAAGCCGTGCGCCTCTTCCCTGCCGGTGGGAAGGGGGAGTACAAAGACAGGTATGGGTGGCCCTGAACTGGTCGGACACAGATAACGGCCATTCTCTGATCGAGTCCAGAAACCGTTCAATTGATGGACCTAGAAGTGCCAAGCAGCCACTCCTGAGCTGGGCAACACTGTCTCTCAGGTTTTTTTAAAAATGTCTGCTTAAAAAACCCAAATGGTTTTACTCCCATGACTTCTTTCCAAATCACAGCTGTAGTTTCCTTGCAACCCAAATCGTAAGCACACAGACTATATGTACAGAATTTTTTTAAACCCACAGATAAAAAAGACTCTACCAAAAGAAAAGAAAACAAACTGAGTTGAAGCTTTGTCATTGTCTAAGTCACACTGGCTGGGCTTGCCTTGGAGCGCTGCCCCCTCGCTCAGTCCTGCTCTGGCTCTCCTGGCCCTGTGTGGCCCCTACTAGTTCTCTGTGACGTCTGTCAACATCCCCTTGTCGGTCAGGTGAGACTTGAGTGTGTTGAAGATGTGGAGCTGCTGGTCTGGCCGCAAAGTCATGAACTGCTGAATCAGCTTGCTCGGGTTCGGGCCCCTGGAAGAGAATGTGAAGAAACAGCACTGATGAAGGCCTAGCACCTTCTAGGGCCTGGTCATCCAAGTGGCTGCCCCCATCTATGGATGTTCTACTAACAGAGGCAGAGGGGCCTCAAGGGATCCATAAATAGTAATCCAAATGTGGAAAACCACATTTGTAATTGGGATGCTTTTCACTGAAACTGAGATGTAGCTAAAATTCTAGAATTTCACCATACTTAAAAATCTACCAACTTGGTTCAGATAGAAAAGCACCATACCTGATAAAACTGGCGATATACACATTGACAAAGGTGGCCATCAGATACTGGCAGTCGAAGCGATCCATGATGCCTCCGTGGCCGGGAATGGTATTGGCAAAGTCCTGTCAGAGGCAGAAGGGGCTGGTGAGCCTGGGCTCAGCCAAGATCGAGGCCTAGCCTATGGTCCCACCTCAACATCCAGCCACTGTTCTGCGTAGCTGAGGGAAACAGATTGTGAGCCATAAGCACTGACTCAAACGCTGAGGCTATAACAGGACATGATCTTATTCCACTACAAAATGTTTCTTTTAAAGAAAGACGTTAAGAGATTACTAACAAATAAACTGAAAATCCTACTACTGAATTTTAATGGAAACAATGTCTTTTTATTTAACCTACCAAAATTTCGTGCATGGCTGAAGAAGAGCACACGTTCATAGCCTAATATTTTGAAGGGGGTGGTGGCTGATGGTGGGGGGCAGGAGGAGGAAGGCAGAAGGGAGGTGAAGAGGGGCCTGCTGGCAGACAATGAGAGAAACAGAGAAGGTTTTCCTACTTTGATTTTAAAAGCTCGTTTGAATCCACTTGCGAAGAACCCTCCAAAGGGACCGATGAGCGAGGCAAAGGTGGAGAGGGCGACGCTGTGAATCTGGAAGGGGTACATCCGGACGATTTTCTGAGAAGAATAAATGAAGCGAAAGTCAAGATGCCTGTAGGCCCAGCCTTATTACATGTTAATATAAATAACTCTTTGCGCAACTAACTATATCCGCCCCTCCCTGGAAAAAAATATTAGTAAGAAGAATGATTTTTTAAAAAGTCTCTAATGTCTGTCTTAATAAAAGACATTAAGATATTCTGTATTCAGTCTCTTATAATCTGTTGTTTTGGTTGAAGTATATGAAGAAAAACCAGCCTTACACAAATATGTAGTTGAAAAAAAGGAAGAGTATTTTAGTACTTTTTTAGATAATTAGTCTTTGACATTATACCAGAATTTGATAAGTGGTAGTTCCTTAAAAATTTAGTGCAATGTGGAATCCTATCAATGAACTTTTTGTACTCTTAAAATTCATTGTTCTACCTTGCACTTTGAATGAATGATCTTTTACCCACAGATAACTATGTAACACCATGCATTAACCATTTAGAAAATACTGGTTCAATGAGTTACGTCAATCTTCCAAATATAGACACATTTCACTACACAATGTCAAAACATTACATATTAAAATCACCACGGATCTCATCAGAAAATCCGTTAAGTATGAGAAGCTGTCAAGCTCACAGTGGCAGCCACACACTTTCCAAAATTCTACTTTTCACTTGAAAGCCGTATTTTACCATTGGTAACAATTAGTTGTTTTCGTTGAACGACAGGCTTACTTCATTCATTTTCAAGAAAAATGTCTGCCACATATCCAAGTCTAAAACACTCGTTTGTCGGTTCATTTCAAGTAAAAACTACATTTCTATAAAAGAGCAACTAGTTCAGTTCATAAGTCAAGCATGTCCTTTAGACAAGCAAGTATCTCAGTATTTAGCAGAAGTGTTTTATGCGTACTTTCCATTTTGGTACTAAGAGTATTAGAAAGTTGTGTATTCAAGGCTCAAGATTTAATAAAATTAATAATTTTACAATTTCACCAAAGACACTCTTAAGAGGAACTAATTTTTTTTACTGCAAGGGTGTAGCATGAAGAAGCGAACGACTTAGTCCAGTTTGGTGCCACTGTCTTCACTCACACTAAGGGGCCAGCAGGTTTACCCGACCACTGCTCAGGCACCATCACAGCAAATGTCAACAAAATGAAAAAGGCAAATAATGTCATTGTATTATTATGGAAACAGCTGTGACCTCACAGACCCCCTGAAAGGATCTCAGGGTCCTCCAGGGATCCGCAGAGCACACTTTGAGAACCACTGGCCCTAGCGATTTGTGGTGGGAGGGAAGGTCTCCTCGTGCCTCATCCTGAACAGACTTAACAACTGTCCTTTATCCTTGGGCTTACAGCTTTGTGGGGAGAGGAAGGTAGCGTTCTGGAGGGAAGGCAATGGTGGAGAGGGGGCTCTGTCTTTGTGTCACTATCCCACTGAGGCTGGTTCACCCCATGGGAGTGGGACATACCCAGCCAATGGCCGACTGGATCACCTCGGGAATGCTGTACTCATGCAGGCGAAACAGGTCCGAGGGCTCACAGTCCACAGTGAAGCTGTTGGTGTCATTGTTGTACTCCACGGGGCACACAAAGCATCTGTACCCAGACATCACATAGGACAGCTGAGGATGAAGAATAGAGAGACAGGCAAAGGAGACAAGGTTTGCCACCCTACCTGAGCAACAGACACCTGGTTTGGCCATGTCCCTCACTGTACCTAGCACCCTCTAACTGCAAGCCACACAATAAATCAGAGATCTAGGTTTCACCACATGTGTATTTTACCTGAACTGGGCAGAGGAGGAGTTTCACAGCCCACTCAGGTCTCACACATACTTGCCCAAACACCCAGTTCCTGAATGAATCCAGGAAAGACCTGAGGAATGTGGGCAAAGGGCAAAGAACTATAAGAAGTTTCTCCCCACTTGAGGGAGCTACAGGCCATTTTTCTCAGGATCTCTTAACTTTGTGCTAACTGGAGGCAGGTGTGGGGGAATGCACAGTGAGTGAGGGGCAGGCAGCCAAGAGAAAGAAGGCTAAATAAAAGGTACTATGACAGGAAGTCATCAGTGAAGGGCAGCTAGATGACACTTCAAAGGGGAGACTGGCCTAGGGTTAGAAAAGGGAATGGTGCTCTGGAAAGGGCTGGAAGATCATCCACCTAAGGGCAGGGCACACACAGGAGAAAATCTGGGCTGGAGTGGCATATCTCACCTCACCCTTTACTCTCCAGAGCCAATCAAACTGACTTGGAAATATCAAATGCCTGGACAAGACCAACGCCTGCTGACTGTTGGCATGCCTCTCATGAAAGAAGGACAGGGTGTGCACGACCCCTGCTCCTTGACTGCCAAGACCCTGCTTGAAAACTGGCAGATGAAGGGCAGCTGGTTATGCCTGTGCAGTTATGGAGCATACCATGCTGGTGCCCCTCT